CCAGGACCTGGGGACTGGAGTCGACGAGAAGAAGGACACAGGGGACCCAAGTCTCGAGTGAAACAACGGTACTTGATTTGTAGCAGCGTGTGCTTTATATATCTCCATACAAGGAAGCTTTAGGCAGCAAAAATAAAGTTGAGCAAAAACAAAACTAGGCGAATAACAATCGTCACAGGGCCAGAAGACAATCCATATCCTGAGTAATAAGGAGGTGGCTGAATAGATTACATTAAAGTAAAAGGTCATTGAAGGGAATCCACACATGCGCTCTGTCTCATGACCTCAGTCCTGAGACCTGCATGCAGCTCTGCTGTTCCTATTTTCCAGGAACTGATAAGGAATAGAGGCCCTTTAGAAAGAAAACACAAAAGAAGAAAACAACATGTGGATTCCTTAAAGTTGAACATCCCCTGACAGTGAGTGACCATGTATTGCATCTTTCCTGCAGCCTCTTGCTCAATGCCTTTGTGCAGTATTCCCTGAACTCAATTTCAGAATTAGGTACTTAGGGATCAGTCTACTCAAAACCCAATTTCCTTTAGAGGAAAAGGATACATTTAATTTGGAGAATTGAAGAAAATTTTTAATATCATGATCATTATTTAGCAATTATGAGCTATGCACTTTCATATATATTGTATTTTCATCCTCACAATGTTGTTGTTTAGTCAATAAGTTGTGTTTAACTCTTTTGCAACCTCATGGACTATAGCCCACCAGGTTCCTCCGTCCATGGAATTTTCCAGGCAAGAATACTGGAGTGGGTTGCCATTTCCTTCTCCACGTATGAACCAGCATCTCCTGCATTGGTAGGTGGATTCTTTACAACTGAGCCACCAGGGAAACTCTATGCTTACAATGAGCTGAGATTAAAGAATTTATTACAATTTTATAGGTGCAGCAACTGAGATGCAAAGCAGTTAAATGACTTGCCCAAAATATCAAGTTAGTGAGTGGCAGAGCCAGAAATCAGGTCTTCAAAATATAAGACTGATGAACTTTGTATAACACTGTTTTATAACTAATGTGCCAAGTGCTTTCAAATTTCTTTTATTTTTGAATAAATAGAAGCCCTGATAGGTCTGGAAGACTACTTTTTATCAAAATAGCCCCAGTATGAGATCCAGGACTCTAGAGTCATTAGTTTCTTTTCTAATTTTATCCTCCTTTGTAGTTTTAGACAGAATTTTAATCTCTTGGGCCTCAGGTTTCTGAAGAGTGAATGAATGAATTGTACTTGGTCAAAACTAGGGTCTCTTTCAGACTTGCAGTTCTATCATTTGAATCATGAAATTTAATGCCAGACAGAGGATGAGATGGCTGGATAGCACCACCGACTTGATGGGCATGAGTTGAGTAAACTCCAGGGAGTTTGTGATGGACAGGGAGGCCTGGCGTGCTGTGATTCATGGGGTCACAAAAAGTCGGACACGACTGAGTGACTGAACTGAACTGAATGTGTTAAATGATTTCTGTATATTGTCTCATTTGGGAAACATGGACCTTGCTTAGGTTCACATGCACCTGGTTACCAAGTAATTTAGTCTGGATTCAATCTCATAATGAAGTTAATTTTATTTGATTTTGATAAGTTGTAAAAGAAGTTATAACCATTCACAAAGCTATGCAATCACTCATTCCACTGAAAGGAACCAAGACTTCTTGGAGAAATGGCTAATTCCAGGTCTGGAGCAAGAAATATAGAAAATGACCCTGAAATATCTTGTCCTGCCAGAACTAAAAAAAGGAAAAAAAAAACTATCAAAGATTCAGAGTTAGATGAAAAGAACACACAGGAAACAAAATAAAGGGACTCCCACTGGCCAAAGATGGAATCACTTGAACATCAAAAAGAAAAAATAATAATGACGGCAATTAAGACTCCTTTGAAGAAAAAAAAAAAAACTCCTTGAATGTTTTTTAAAAATCTGTGAGTTAATGATGTTCAAAAAGAGAAAACAATAAGAAATATTAGTTACCAATTACTGCATAATAAACTACCCCCAAATTTAGAGTCAAACAGCAAATATTATCTCACACAGTTTCTACAGGTCAGGAACCTGAGAGCAACTTAGAGATTGGTTCTGGTTCTGTCTTAAGGTTGCAGCCGATTTGTTGACCCAGGCTGCAGTCATCTGAAGGCTTGGCAGAGAGCTGACAGTTCCACTTCTAAACTCACTCATATGGCTGTTGGCAGAAAGCTTTAGTTCCTCACCACCTGGGTCTCTCCTTAATGTATGGCAGCTGGCTTTCCCCAGTGTGAGTGATCTGAGACTATGGGAGAAAAAGAGAGACCAAGATGAACACCACAGTTTCTTTTATTACCTAGTATTAGAAGTAACATAACATCATTTCTGCCATACTCAATCGGTCACACAAACCAACCCTGGTATAATATGGGAAGAAGCTACACAAAAGTATGAATACTGGAAGGCAGTGCTCCTTGATGGTTATTTTGAAAAGTGGTTAATGTATAATAACAGCAGCCATGGCACCTAGGGCATGGCTGTTTACCCTGAAAATTGGCAGTTAAATAGAAAGGTAAACATTTATTCTGTCTTTTCTGTTAGAACTGACATTTCAGAATAACCAAACAACCCTGAATTGACAGGTTAAGGAGATAAGATCCTTTTAAAAGGAATTCCAAATCATAAATGTGAAAAAAAAAAATTTTAATTAGAAAATCCCGGTTTTGCAATAAAATGCTTGATTCAGGCAAAGATCATCAGTGGATGAAACCACCAGATGAAAGGTTGATGAACTTTACATGGAAGGATCCAACTAGCAAGTGCTGATTCACTGATGAATCTTAACATCACAGACAGTGAAATAATCCAACATTATGTGCCTCCTGGTGTAAAGCAAAAGGAAGTAGGTAGCACCACGTAAAAATAATGCTTACCCATAAAGGTAAAGCAAACTCTAAACCTTTAGAGCTAACATCTAGCTAACAAATACAAGGCTAGAGAACCAAATTAAATGGGGATGGACTCAGACCAAGCCAGCATGTGGAATATGCAGGACAAATGGCCAAATATGTTCGATGGGGGAGAAAGTGAAAGATGGAGGAACTATCCTAGATCTAAATTTTAAAAGATTTAAGACAAATAACCAAATAAAGTACATAGACTTTAGATCTTGATTCAAAAAAGCAGCATATTTTATGTATTTGGGAAATTGAAATATGGACTCAGTATTAGATTGTACCCGGGAGTTATTTTAATTTTGATAGTTGGGATAATGACATTGTGGTTCTGTTTTAAGAGATGCATTCTGAAGAACATAAAACAAGAAATAACACGTTTGGGGCTGCGGTTGCGGACGGTTTCTAGGGAACTCCTCAACCAACGAGTTGATGATTTCCTAGAAAGTCACCGGAAATGATTATTGAAGGACTAGGAAGTGGAGCTAGAACAGATTCCTTTATTTTGTCATTTCTAGAGAAGAATATCGGCAGGAAGGTCTGTGTCTCCAGCCAGCGTGGGATGGGACTGTAGCTGCCGGGCTCCCAAGCTGCCACTGGGGTCTCCGAACCCTCCGAGGGGCGGCTGGAAGGAGGCCGACACCACCTCCTGCTTCACTTAAATCTTAAAATTAATACGCCTCCTACCAGGGGCCCGGAACGGCGGGCGGGGATGGGGCGGGGCTTTGGGGCCGCGTTGCCTGGGATCTGGAGTCCGCCGCGTATTCCTGCCCGACATGGGATTTTTTTCTCCGCCTCCCCCGCGCTCTTCTTGCTCTCAGCGGCCCTTTACCTTTTTTTTTTTTTTTTTTTCATTTATTTTCCTCCCCAGCATCCATTCGTGCGTTCTTTCATTTGGCCAATTTCTAGCTGAGCGACTGCTGGTGTAGGCACTGTTTTAAACTTTGGGGATAGAGCAGTGAACAAAATAGACAAAAAGTCCGTGCTCTCAAAAGCCTAGAAGCTTACATTATAGTGAAAGGAAGACCTACAATAAACAATGGAAAGTATATAATTAACTTATGCACTTTGTTGGAAAGTGCTGTATAGGAAAGCAAGGCATGTCATGATTGGAAGGAGGTGGTAGACTGTAATTTTAAATAGCGCACCTAAAGTAGGTTTCCTAGGGAGGATTACATGCAAGCAAACAGTTGAAGGAGGCGAGATTATTCATCGTGAGGATAGTTTGAGATAGAGGGAACAGCCAGTGCTAAGTCCCTAAAATAGAACCGTACCTAAAAAGGAAGAGAAAGAAATGTGGGACTGAAGGGGGTTGAATTGGGGGGGGGGGGGGGGAGATTAGTAGGAAAGGTAGTAGCAACCCTGTAGACTCATATGGCCCTGTAAGGACTTTAGCTTTTATTTTGAATGAACAGAGGCAAGACAATGAGATTCTTTAGGGCCTTATATGCTACTCCTTATTTTGAGTAAGATGGACGCATTGAGGGCTTTTAAGCAGAGAACTGAAATGATCCAACTTAAGTTTTAAATGGCCCACTTTATCGTATTGAGAAAAGACAAGTAGAAGACAAGGACAGAAGCAGGAAACCAGTTTGATGGCTAACAACAATACAGGGCAAGGCAAGCAATGGTGGCTTGGGCCAAGATGGTGGCAGGAGAAGTTGTATTCTGGATATGTTATCATACTCAGTTTGTTCCTCTTCTCCCTCATCTCTCATAGATACTCCAGATTCTCAGTGATTCCTTCTTTTCACTTTGGTCACACCCCTCTATTCTCTCTTCTCTTCATCAAATATACAGGAAAACAAGGTATGGGATCATCACTAGCTTATTACTGCTGATGAACCCCACATCTAGTGCAGTATTGATACATCAAACCAAAAAGCAGCTTCCCTGTGGGTCAGGAGAAGTCTTTGACTGGTCTCACCAAGGCTTATATCCCTGAAAGGAGGCTAGTATCCACTGGAGCCACTTCAAAACTGGTTATCTGGGCAAAACCAGGATTGACTTTAGGAGCTGGATCCAACCAGCAGAGAAGAAACTGGGACAGTATTAGAAGACTGGAAAAGAAAACATGCAGCCGGTAAAAAAAAAAAAGGAGAATCTGCAATGTATCACAAGGAGGAAGAAGTAGTGAGTCCAAGAAAGGAGGAAAGCAATGGAAGTGTGGTGGGCTTAGATTGACTGTGTGGAAGTTTTCTCCTTCAAAATACTTTTTCTGGATTAGCTGGTGGTGTTTTTAAGTTATAGAATAATTGGATGCCATTTGTGTTTTTCATAAGGTATATCGGAGACTGAGCCCCTGTTTTTCTCACCCCTTTTGGTAGTTTGGAGAGTTGATTTCCATGAATAGAACTTTATAGTTGGTTGCATAACCAACCAATATGCAGTTTACCATAAATTTTCTGTCCCTCCATAACTTCTCCAAATGTTTTCTATTCCTTGCAATAGATCGTGGTATCAGAAGAGAGTCCAGGATCACCAAACCAGTTTGGCATCCCTGATACCATGTTCCTACAGGAAAGAGGTAATGTACACAGGGGATTGTGGCAGGAGTTATGGCAGCTAAAAATGGGGCAGGGACACAGACTAGGTGAGAGATGCTTCCTGGGGCCTGGGAATATGCTCATTATTGAGTATTTATAGAAAAATATATTCTTTGTATATTAGCCTTGGCCTGGTATTGACAGGAACTAAATTATTCAGTTTCTGCCCTTATCTTAAATCAAATTTGGAAAAAAAAAAATTCATAAGAAAAGATTCTTCAAAGCAGTTTATGGAAGCTTTGACTATATTCATCCACTTATTATATGTTCAACTCGATATATATATGACAAGTAGCTTACATATGGGTACATGAATATTTGCACATGTTAATCTTGTAGTATAATTTGGTAACGCCTCCCCAACCACAGTTTTACCAACATGTAAATATTGATTGTATGTCATTTTATTTCTGTACATCTGTTAACCCTGAGATTTTTACATTATAGTATAGGTATACCTGAGAAATAAGATAAAGCCATGGCAAAAGAAGGAACAAAGGTTTTGTTGTGAAACTTTGGAAAAAATAAAGAAGGGGAAATGTGGGACTGGGCTTTAGAAATGCTCTTCGGTAGCATACACGAAGAGAAGAGTGGAGAAGATTTGTGTGCTAAGTCGCTTCAGTCATGTCTGACTCTGTGCGACACTATGAACTGTAGCCCACCCGGATCCTCTGTCCATGGGATTCTCCAGGCAAGAACTGGAGTGGATTGCCATTCCCTTCTCCAGGGGATCTTCCCCACCCGGGATGGAACCAGCATCTTTTACACCTAACCAGCATTGGCAGGCAGGTTCTTTATCACTAGTGCCAGGTGGCGCTAGTGGTTTGTATAGACAGAGGCTATTAGACAGAGGACTAGGCACCTGGACACCCCTAAAATAGGCTTGTAGGATGATACGTATTACCTGCAAAGAAAAAAAAAAGATAAAATGAATTTCTAAGCATATTATTGGAACTTCCAGAAGAGAAATCTTGAAATTTCTACTTTAAAGTAATCATAAAGGAAAAATTAATACTATAGAACATATTTATCACAAATTTAAGAGGTAGAAAATAATGGATATTGCTTAACTTGGTTGTTAATTTTATTTCATTTTTTTAAAGTTTAAAAATATATATAATTTTATGGTTCACATCTGACCTGAGTATTCCAGTCCTCTTTTTCTCAAAAGATATTGAATTCTCTTCCTATAAGTGATTTTTAGGGCCATAAAGTTTACAGTTACTTAGCATAATATGTAAATGAGTTAATCTCATCCTGGATAATATCTGTACATTGTTTTAACAAATAGTTTTGTCATGGGCTGAATGTTTCTATCCCCTCAAAATTCATATGTTGAAGCCCTACCCCCCAACCCAGTGTTACGATATTTAGGGGTGAGGCTTTGGGAAGTAATCAATTTTAGATGAAGTCATGAAGGTGGAACCCCAATGATGAAATGAATGTCCTTAGAAAAGGACACTCTCACCCATGTGTGAATTCCCCCAAGTTCATTTTTAACTGACCTTTCAAATACAGAAACTAAGAAATAAAGTTTAAGAATCACTACAGTGAAGAGAATTCCCTCGCACTCCAGTCATTAGGACTGCTGCTGTTGCCTAAGTTCAGTTACTGATGGGAGAACTAAGGTGCCACGAGCCGCACTGCACAGTTCAGTTCAGTCGCTCAGTCTGTCCGACTATTTGCAACCCCATGGACTGCAGCACGCCAGGCTTCTCTGTCCATCACCAACTCCTGGGGAAAAAAATCACTACAGTGGTTACCAGGGGCTGAGGAGAAGGAAAAATAGAGTTGTTGTTTTGTTGTTTAATGGGTATAGAGTTTCAGTTTTGCAAGATGAAAAAGTTCTGGAGATCTGTTATGATTTTAGTGTGGTACATTTGTTACAAGCGATGAGATAATATTGACACATTATTATTAACTAACCTCTAAACTCCCTAGTTTATATTGGAGAAGGAAGTGGCAACCCACTTCAGTATTCTTGCCTGGAGAATCCTGTGGACAAAGGAGCCTGGAAGGCTGCTGTCCATAGCATCACACAGAGTCGGACACGACTGAAGCGACTTAGCATGCATGCATGCATTGGAGAAGGAAATGGCAACCCACTCCAGTATTCTTGCTTGGAGAATCCCAGGGACAGAGGAGCCTGGTGGGCTGCCGTCTATGGGGTCTCACAGAGTCGGACATGACTGAAGCGACTTAGCAGCAGCAGCAGCAGCAGCAGCAGTTTATATTAGGATTCATGCTTTGTGCTATACAGTTATATAGGTTTCTACAAATGAATAATACTATGTATCTGCTATTAAAGTAGTATGCAGACTATTTTGATGCCCTAAAAGTTCTCTTCCACATATTCATCCTCCTCCCACCACTGTGAGTATTTTAACACTATTGAAACACTTAAAAATAGTTAAAATGGTAAATTTCCTTTTATATTTTTTTTACCACATTTAAAAACAGTTTTTAATGTAATGAACACTTAGGGGAAAAAAAGCCACTACAAAGTAACAAAAGTTTTGTAATTTATGAAGAAGATATGGTAAACATCCAATTGGGATGCATATGGAGGAAAGTTGGAGTTAAATAAGGATATGCTTTGTCAAAATTTAAGACTTATACATTTGACTGTATATAAATTTTACTTTAAAAATAAGAATATAAACAGATATTCAACTTTAATGATATGTGTCATAGTGTTAGGGGTCATGTATGCTAATGTCTTCAACTTACTTTGAAATGCAACAAAAAATAAAATGAATTTATAGATAGTTAGATGGACAGATATGCAATAAATCAAATATTGCAAAATGTTAATAGTAGAATGTCAGTGGTGAGTATATGGATGTTTCCTATATAGTTCTTTCAACTTTTCTGTATATTTGAAAATGTTCATTATAAAATGGTGATTGAAAAAAAACAATTGGGAGGTTAAAGTTTATTGATATTATAAGGAAAAGAACTGTTATGGAACATTTTGGAACAAAGCATGTGTCTGCTGTGAGCTCTGTACCTTCCAGGGGATTGGTTTCCCAACCAACCAACTTTTTGAGACAAAGAGTCATAAAGTAACAGACTTTCAGAGGAGATAGTGGGGAAACTGTATGGAATCCACAATGATTGTGAACACAGACCTGTTTTGATCAAAAGCTAAGGGTGACATAGACCAAAGAAGAATCTTCTTGACACACATCTGAAGAAAGAAGCCAGTTTTTTACTAAATTGAGGTTTTGGTGAAATTGAAGTGATAGTTTTGGGGTCCTGAGGCCAAGGGATGACCCTAGAGTCTTACTGATAGGTGACTTCAGACCAGAAAGAAATGTTCTTGGACTGGGGAATATGTTGATAACTATCAAGAAAGATAAACCACCATAAACACAGAAGCTACAGAAAGGCCAGGTTGGCCTGCAAGGAATAAAACAGGGGCCCCATTAACCAGTATTGAGAAACTGTACTTTTTTCCCAATCCATATGGATCATACCTGGTCATTTGTACACTCTGAGAAAGTTTCTTTTGCATTTTAAAAAGTGGAGTGTGTTATACTATACTGGAAGGGCAGTTGGGGGCGGGGAGCCGAATTGCTTAATACTAGGGAATTAACAGGAAAAAGACTCAGAATCAAAGGGGGAAAGTGATTTTCTCTAATAAGAACAAGAAAAAAAATTTTTCTAGTGAACTAAGTGGAGGTAGACCAACTAGTAAGTTACATAAAGAAGTAAGCTTTGGACCTATCCCTTTTTATTTATATTTATTTATATTTCCTTTTAAAAAAAATATATGTATTTGGCTGCATTGGGTCTTAATTGAGGATGCAAGGTCTTTCACCTGATAGCTGCAGTGCCCGGGATTAGTTGCTCTGTGGCAAGTGGGATCTTAGATCCCTGACCAAGGATCAAATTTGTGTCTGCACCACCAGGGAATTCCCTCCGTGGATATTTCTGATCCATACCTCTCCTTTTTTCCCCTCCACCTTCACCCCAAGTCTTTCTGGACAAAATTACTGCAACATTCAAATACAGGAAGCCGAGCTGTCATATTAAGCTGGTAGTCAGTGATTTGGGCCTTAAAAGGTCTTCTAGGATTAAGAGAGACAGAGTAAAGGATTTAGTAGGTGAGAGGAAAGAAGAGTGCACTTACAGTTGGCTTGGCTGCTGGCCAGGTCATGATACCTCACACTGGAAACTGAGACTAGAGGAATAATGGAGAAAGAGGATACTGTAACGCAGTCGACTTACCCCCTAGATCAGAGCTTCATAAGTTTCTACATTGGGGGAGGAGAGGATGAAAGTAGGCTTCATTAACACCGTGCTGAATTGACTCTAGGCTTATTTCCCTTCTCTCAGCTCTACCATTTCCTCAGTGCCCTGCCTTAGCCAGAGATGAAAGCCAAGGAAACCTGCCAGGAGCAAAACATACAGTGATGAGCCAGCCTCAAGTGAGCTAAGGCCCCTTCCTTCCTTCCTGAAAATATATCTCTGTCTCCTAAATGTGTCCTTGTCCTCACTCCCTTACCTGGCTATGCCACTCCCAAGTCCAGGTGCTCCCTCTCCTAAGGGATGCTTTTTTGGATGACAGACCACTTGTGGATTGTTTGTTCTTTCGTTATTTTTTGCTACTGAAAGCCTAAGCTTCCTTTCACCTCGTCCCCAGATATACACCAAACAGTAACAGCCTTTCACTTCTGTAAACCTTCTCCCTACAAATTCTTTTCTTCTGCCTCTGTTTCCTGAGGGAATTATGAAATTTCCTCCCACAATAGCAGGAACATGTTGTTTCAGGAGTCAGTGACATTTGAGGATGTAGCTGTGAACTTCAGTTATGAGGAGTGGCAGTGTCTGACCCACACCCAAAGGCACCTCTATACAGATGTGATGTTGGAAAATTATGGGAACATGGTGTCACTTGGTAAGAACTTTCCCTGCACTTGGCTTAGTACTTTCTCCCTTTTTCTTTTCATTGCTTTGTTGATGTGTATGGGGTCTCATATTGAAAATAAGAGCCCTCATTCTTTATCATCAGCTTCTTCCTCCCAGATTAGTTTTGAGTTGTCCCTGTTTACATAGCAAGAGAATTTCCTGGCTAACTTAGTTGCTGTTTTCTGATCCTCTGAAATGAAAGTCTCTCTGAATAGAATGGAAATCCTTAGCTTCTGTTCTCCCTGGATTCTTGCCTTCTCAAGCCTCTCATTTTCCATTAAATGCTTTGTATCCATCGCCTAGTCATGAACTCCTTCCTAGCGGCTGAAAGCAGATCAGCCTTCCTTTACAAACTCCCATTCTCCTAAAAAGAACAGGGAAAATATAACCAATGACAGTTTTCCATAAACTCTTTCTTTGCCTTTCTGAGTATTGACTTCTGAGAAAGTCCTTCAACCTGTTTCATTTACGGGTTACCAGACCCCTGAATAAATGCTTTTCTCTGCCCAAATAGACATTTCTTTCCTATTTTCATATGCAAACAGAGGGATCAAAGTAAATGTTAGGGCAGTTCTTTGTTGCTGTACACCCTTATTCCTTCTTCCTTCTGTACAACCAGGATTTTCATTTTCTAAACCTCCTTTGATCTCCCGTCTGGAGCAAGGTACAGAGCCCTATGTTCAGGATCGACAGGACTGGGAGTTCCTGAGCTGCTCCTATCCAGGTGAGTGCCAGAGAAGCTGTCTGTCCCCTTGTGTGTTCCATGTGACAGAATGGTTATAGAATGTTCTTAGTGGTGGGCCATCCATCCTCAAGGGCCCAGAGGAAATCTGTCTAGGAAATCTTAAAAGCAGAGAAAACATACTATTTGGGTAATTATTCTGTCATTATCTAATCAGCTCTCTGCAACATATCTAATAGACTTTTTGCAATTTCTTGCAAAAAGGCTCTGACAATTTATCTGCCCTCTGTGTATCATTTACTACAATGCTCAGAGAACATTGCTTTTCTGCCTCTGGATTTTAGGGGATTTTGTTTGTTTGTTTGTTTTTTCAGGACCTTCCCTCATTCAGAGTCCTGAGCCTTTGACCCTTGTCTTTTTCTATTCTCTGTTATTGTGAAGTTGGATGCCTGCCATCCGAAGAGGTAACCTTTACCTCTTTCCTGGGCAGCAGTCTCATGTTTCTAACTCCTGATTTTTATTTGAATATTGCATTGTCATCTGGGAAGCAACATATCTAAAGTCAAACTCATCTCTTCCTCCAAGGCTGTCTCTTCATTAAGCTCTCCCTATTTCTATATCTGGTTCTACCTCTTTCTTACTTTTCTTTACATTCCCTGAACCTCTTATGTAGTCAGTCATAAAATATTACCAGCCCTTCATTTAAACTATTTTCTACATTTGTCATTCCAAAAAATTGTCCTTTGCTTACAGGGCAACTCCAGCTTCCCTATCCAAATATCTACTCTTCGGTCCTACTGCCATCTAGAAAGCATAATTGGGCAACTGTTATGTGCCAGCTATTATATAAGGTTCTAGAGATAGACAGTCAGATAAGATATAGGCCCTGACTTCCAGAAGCTTGTTTTATAGTGGGGAAAGCAAATAGATAAAGAAGTAATTATACAGTCCAGTATCATGGGACTTACTGAGATATGTAGATAAGGATAAGCATCTGGTATACATAAACAGAGAGGAAAAACACCTAAATCTGACCTGGGGACCAAAAGGCTGCAGGAGGAACGACAACTGAACTAAGTTGTGTGGAATAAGTGAGGTCATTTCGTTGAACGAGGGGAGAGTCCTTCTAGGCAGAGGGGAATAAGAATGTGAACTGTGAATAGTTCAGTATGACCAGAGCAAAGGGCTTGCAGTAGCCAGTGGAGACACTACAGGAGCAGTGGACAGGGGCAAGATCATGACTGAATGAGTTTTTGGTAAACTACAGACCTTGAACTTTATTCTTACACTAACAGGTAAGATGATTAAGTACTTATTTCAGTGTTGCAGGTGCTTTACATACATTGACTCATTTCATTATCATGGGTAACCTAGATCCCATTTTATTGATAAAAACAATGGGTCAGAGAGAGAAGTTACATCATCCTCCCAAGTTGGCACAGTTATTAGGTGTCAGAACCAGGACAGTGAGCTGGGGCTGTTGACTGTACATTTTACTTCCTGTCTGGTTAACTATGGAGCACCATTGAAGTGTTTTAAGCTAAAAAGTGATGTGATTAGATCTGATTTTTAGAAGGAATAATCTGGAAGCAGTGTACAGGATGGATTAGAGAGGAAGCAGACTAAAGGACTTTTGAGGGATATTGAAGTTAGCTAGTGAGAATGCACTCGAAATAGAGATGAAGAAGGGATAGAGTTAGGAGATAATAAGATAGATTTGGACTGTGGTTGCCAATAGTAAAAATTAACTCAAGCTACCTTAAGCAAAAGAAAACAAATGTACTTATTATTCAGGGTGTCATGGAACTTAAGAGTAGGTATACAAGAGGCTTAAGAAGAGCTGGAATGCCATCAAGCCCTGCTCTTCAGCTATCTTCTCTGCCACTCTGTGGGTCTGCTCCATTCTTCTTTCTTGGCAGATCCATCTCTGCTTGTCAGTCCCAGTGACAGAGCTTTCCATCCCCTATACAACACCCATATCCCAACACCACTCAAATTTTTGTTTTGTTTTGTTTTTCCATTTATTTTTATTAGTTGGAGGCTAATTACTTTACATCATTGCAGTGGTTTTTGTCATACATTGAAATGAATTAGCCATGGATTTACATGTATTCCCCATCCCGGTCCCCCCTCCCACCTCCCTCTCCACCCGATCCCTCTGGGTCTTTCCAGTGCACCAGGCCCGAGCACTTGTCTCATGCACCCAACCTGGGCTACCACTCAAATTTAAGTGCTAAAGATCCAGCCATCTTCAGAGCCGGGCCTTACCTGCTTTCATATGATTCCAGAGTTCATGAGGAGAGAATCTGGCCTGGTTTGGATCAGGTCTTCCCCAGATCTAACCTGTCCTACCCAAGTGGGCAGAGGTACACCACAGAAATATGGCTCTCCAGGGTCCACTGTCAGGAACAAAGCAGACAGATCCTTACAAAGGGGGCTACACTGGCACTTGAGCACCACCTCTTCTGCTCACTTCACTGGTAACATCTGTAAAATGTTACTGAGTATTAGAATGAGTTGAAAATGATTTCCAGTTTCCTGTTTAGGGGCTTAGGTGTATGAAGTTATCATTCGCGAAACTAGGAGATTCTAGAACATAAGTAGACTTTGGAAGGATTTTTGTCAGGTTTACTCAGTTTTGAATATCTTCGTACTTTTCAGTGTTTCAGCCTCCTTTGCCATATGACCTTTGCCATAATGTTAGCAATTCTTCAAGCATGAGAAAGTCATTTACTCTTCCAACAATTTACCATTGCTTCCCCTGTTCCAACTCACTTATCTCCTTTCCTCTGAACATCTGACATTTTTATTTTCTTGTTTCAGCCGCCAAGACATGGCCTGAGAATGAGAAGGCAAGATCAGAACAGGAGGTTTTTGAAAATGGAGAAGTGTGCTGGGTGAAATTTAGAAGTCTCCTAAAAGTTGTTTCCCAGGATCCAGAGATTGGAGAAGTTTGTGTACAAGATGTCGAATTAGAGAATCAATGGGAAATGCCTGTGAGGGAGCAACGGAGAGAAAAGAAAGAAAGCTGTGAGAAAGTGACTTTCAGGAAAGCAAAGAACCAGAAGGGACTTAGAAAACACTTCAGTCCAAACTCAGAATATATTCTGTATGGAGTTCTTACAGAAAAGAAGCAGCATGAATGTACCCAATGTGGAAAAAACTTCAGTTGGCATTCTGACTTAATTCTCCATGAGCGAATTCATTCTGGTGAGAAACCCTATGCGTGTAATGAGTGTGGGAAAGCATTCAAGACCAAAAATCAACTTTCCATGCACCAGATAATCCACACAGGGGAGAAACCCTTTAACTGTACCCAGTGTGGGAAGGCCTTCAGTAGTAGATCCGCTCTTTGCCGACATAAAAAAACCCACAGTGGGGAGAAGCCACACCCGTGCGGTGACTGTGGGAAGGCCTTCAAGACCAGGTACTGTCTCAGGATGCATCAGATCATCCACACAGGAGAGAAGCCTTATGAATGCAGTGACTGTGGGAAGGCCTTTCAGTTTAAGCATTCCCTCATCATCCACAACAGGAGCCACACTGGGGAGAAACCCTATGCGTGTGAGGAGTGCGGGAAGGCTTTTAGTGGGAGTTCAGACCTCATCAAACACACAAGAGTCCACACTGGGGAGCGACCTTATGAGTGCAATGAGTGTGGGAGGGCCTTCAGCTGGAGCTCAGACCTAAGCAAACACAGAAGACTCCACACTCAGGAGAAACATTGTGGGTGCCCTCAGTGTGGAAAAGCCTTCAGCAACGAAGCAGAGCTCACCAAACATAGAAGAATCCACACTGAAGAGAAGCCTTACAAGTGTAAGGAGTGTGGGAAAGCCTTTCATCATAACTGTAAATGCCGGGCTCATGAACGAGGACACACCGGGGAGAAGCCCCATCGATGTGGGGATTGTGGGAAAACTTTCCAAGATCAGCACTGCCTTACCATCCATCAACGAATCCACACTGGAGAGAAACCTTATAAATGTTCAGAGTGTGGTCGAGCTTTCAGTGGGAAATCAAACTTAACCAATCATCAGAGAATCCACACCGGAGAGAAGCCTTACAGGTGTGAGGTGTGTGGAAAGGTCTTTCATCAGAGCTCAGTCCTGAGACAGCACAAAAGAATCCACACGGGTGAGAAGCCATTTACCTGCCATGAATGTGGCACGTCTTTCCGTCAGAGCTCGGCCCTGATTGGACACAAGCGAGTTCATACTGGAGAGAAACCTTATGTATGTGAGGAGTGTGGAAAAGCTTTCAGAGTGAGTTCAAATCTTACTAGACATAAGAAGAGAAAACATATAGAGTGTGGGAAACCCACAAACTTGGGGAGAGTGGGAAATCTCTCTCTCTAGTAACTGATTCTCAGACCTTTTCATTCATAAATATTTGACCACCAACACCTGAGAGTAGTGATTCTGGTGTTTACACTTTCTCATTTCTCCTTCTACTTCTTATACTGATCCCTCTTGTCTCCTGTGTTGGTTCTTCCTGGTTCCCTGACCCCTCTAATTGTGAGATCCCTCAAGCCTTTGTCCTTCATCTTCCCATTCAGTGTTTCTTCAGTTCCAAGGTTTTGTCTATCAATATTAGTACTGTAATACTACATACTAGTGCCCTACACATGCCAGGCACTATTCTTTACAGTTTTAAATCATTTAATCCATACAGCGTCCCTGTGGGATGAGGAAATTGAGGCATAAAAAAATTAAGAAACCTGTTATGGATCCTGTAACTGGTAAATTCTAAACAAATGCCTGCTGAATGCTCAGACTTCTCTGAGCAATTTCTGTAATCCTGTACCACATTTCTTGAATGTGAGGCTATACCTCAGTTTAGCACAGAACATTTTTTTATTGTAAATAAATAAATTTATTATAAATAAACATTGATCAATTTTAGTAAGTTTTTTATTTTTTTTTGGTCACAGTTCTCAGTTCCCTGACCAAGAACCAACTCTGTGCCCCTTAAGTGGAAGTAAGGAGTCTTAACGACTGGACCGCCAGGGAAGTTCCAGCAAATTTTAAATTAAAACTTAAATGGTACTCTTCTATATAGATTCAGAATTTCTGTGATTCAGCAGAGGAAGGAAGATAAGGCAAAGGCAGACTTTTTTAATTACAAGTAAGTAGAAGTCAAGTGTGAGCTTCCCAGCTGTCGTGGTGGTGAAGAATCCACCTGCCAATGCAGGAGATGCAAGAGATGTAGGTTCAGTTCCTGGGTCAGGGAGATCCCCTGGAGCACAACATGGCAACCCACTCCAGTATTCTTGCTTGGAAAATTCCATTGACAGAGGAGCCTGGTAGACTAGAGTCCATGGGGTTGCAGAGTTGGATGTGACTGAGTACACACAGAGAGGTCAGGTGTCCACAGCTCAAGTGGAAGTTTACATATGGAAAGAGCATGAAGCCTGCCCCACTGTCTTATAAATGTACTAAAAGGTCTTCATGGTGTTGATTTCTTAAATATTTGTTTTATCTATCTGCATGACATATGAAATGCTCTTTCACAAGGATTAATAAATGTATATCTTTTCAAGTCTTTCAGTGTCTCTTAACATCTACCCTTTCTCTTTTGAATGTAACAGGTTCTTACTGCAGACAGAATTAAATACACACATGCAATAAGGCTAAGGAAATGGCAACCCACTCCAGTATTCTTGCCTGGAAAATCCCATGGACAGAGGAACCTGGTGGGCTACAGTCTGTGGGATCGCAAGTGTCACACACAACTGAGCAACTAAACCACCACATTCAATAAGGCTACTAAGATAGAAATTGAAAATCCTAGAAGAGGATGCAAGTGTGTGTCAGTTAACATAATGACCATAACTGTGAATTAAATTTAGTTCTCAATTCCCTGACTGGCCAAGAAAGAGATGAGCAGTGGGTTATCCAGTATTTGTCAAAGGTGTTTTACAAGCTAATGTTTTTTAAAAATAACAAGTTTAAGAAATGCTGGCTAGGTGGGAATTTTTATTCCCTTAAAGACTTCTCAGGGTTTATAATATGCTGATGTCCTTTCTAAATTTTAAAACAAAGGAACTGTAAGAAGCATTGCTTTCCCAAAGGGAAGGACAAAAAGAATCCTGTTTAGAGGAGCACCTTCATGCCCTCTTGTTTCACAGAAAACATTTTGGGAAATGGTTACACCTTATCTAATTGGACAAAAAGTCCAAGATACACAATTTTCTAGTAACAAATTCCAAAGGGAATTACATGGCTTATTACACAATAGACAGATTAAACATTGGTCTTTAGGTTCAGTGTCTACAGGATACTAGAGCATGTTCCTTATACAGGCATTTCTTATATAGCTTGTTGAAGAAAACTGAGATGAAAACATTTAGGCTCTAACTTTAAAATTGTTTCTGTGAAAGATGAAACTCTGTATATGTGGCTTTCAGATGATACAATGTGACTTAAGAACAGAGTTCAGGATGTGTCTGGAGAGTTCATAGTGCTTTTCTAGTCTTTTTTGAGTATGAAGACGCCTTATTTGATGAAGAAAACTTTTCACCAACACCCTCTCCCTCATGTATACACATACTACAAGTAGTTGTACTTTATTGCTTGATGGCAAAATGTCGTCATGTTCTCCAGAAAATCTGAGGTTTTGTTAATTACAACGTCATATATGCTGTTGTAAAATGTATATACATGTTCAGGATGTTTATTTTACCTGCAAATTATGATGTGCATTTAGATTTTGGACTCAGAAGTCCTTAGCCCATCATGAGGACCCTCAAGTGCATCCTTTCATGTCGCTTCTTTAGTCCATCTTCTAACAGAATCTGGCAAAGTTTCAATTCCAGTTTAAATTCTGGACAATCCTGGAGTGTTGCTGTTTTGTGTTATTGACTGCAGGGTCATATCTTTCAAATACTGGTTAACTGAAGGAGGTGGCAAGCCTGACATCCCATTGTGAAAGTTGAGCAACCTCTATATTGAGCCCAAATAGAGTAGACTTCATCCTCATGTGTCTGTCTTCATCATGACTGTTGTCTCCCTAAAATAGTCCTATGATTGTGACACCTGGCTTTATTTGTTTTTATTGAAGTATCATTGACTTACAATATTTTGTTCACTTCAGATGTACAGTTGCCTTTAAAACTCTCGACTGACTCCCAGTCCTGCAGTTAAAAATCCCCAAATTACTAGCTCAAACTCCAGGAATCTTTTGATATCCCCTTAACACTGAAAATGAACATGATGATAAAACGCTGAAAAAGTTTCAGATACTTTACCTGTGAAAAAGTCAGTACATTTTCAAAGAATCCTAAAGTGGGGTGACAGAGAAGGCAATGGCAACCCACTCCAGTACTCTTGCCTGGAAAATCCCATGGACCGAGGAGCCTGGTAGGCTGCAGTCCATGGGGTCGCTAAGAGTCAGACACAACTGAGCGACTTCACTTGCACTTTTCACTTTCATGCATTGGAGAAGGAAATGGCAACCCACCCCAGGGTTCTTGCCTGGAGAGTCCCAGGGACGGGGGAGCCTGGCGGGCTGCCGTCTATGCGGTCGTACAGAGTCGGACACGACTGAAGCGACTTAGCAGCAGCAGCAGCAAAGAGGGGTAAATGCTCAGTTGTGTCTGACTCTTTTTAGAGCCCACCAGGCTCCTCTGTCCATGGGATTTGCCAAGCAAGAATGGTAGAGTGGATTGTCATTTCCTCTTCCAGGGAAATTAGGATAGACTCGACTCTGCTATATCGTTGTAAATTTCGGAAAATGTTTGTATGCCCTCGGGTCAAGAAAAGATTTTTCAAACAAGGCCCCGAAAAAAGACGATTTTGATACTTTTCTCCATTCCCATACTATAAGTATTTCCAAATTAGAGAAAGACACGAAGTAAGTGAGCTGAGAGAGGCTGGAGAAAGGATAGTGACTATTTTGAGCATAAATTATTCCCTCGGGGGCACTGACAGGATCTATATTGAATTGCAGGGCATTCCCAGGAATCTGACATCCATTCATTTGTTTGTAATAAGGATTGTATGCATAAAAGCACTTTTTGTTTATGATATTGATTGTTGCATCCTCAGAGCCTAGAATGATGCCGAAAATATACTGGCCGCTCAAATAGATAGACTGAACAACGTGTAGACAAATAGATTATTCGAGCGCATGTTTTCCGTTGAGCATTGTTCTGAGGTAGTTACCTATGGCCCTTAGGTAAACAGAAGTCAAAACGGGGGGAGATAAGGACTAACTTTGTAGGATATTAGAACAGCCCACTTCGGGCATGAATAAAGTTTGTCTATCAGGCAGTCTCCCAATAAAGAAAACAGCCCTGGCAGCGGTGGGATTCGAACCCACGCCCCCGAAGAGACTGGAGCCTTAATCCAGCGCCTTAGACCGCTCGGCCACGCTACCTCTTCCGGTCTGAACCTTTTCATCATTTTCCCTAAGAGTGATAGTCTTCCCCTTACGGTTCCGTCACGTCTCACCCCTTAGGACGCCTACCTGGCGTTTTCCTCACCAATACTACCATAGAATTTATGCCTGGCGTTCAACCACCACCCAGACTGAACCCTCATACCCTACTTCCCCACAGTTGGGAATAGCGGAGAAGGAAACCAGGGGATCCGAGCCGCCCGCCAGTTTGTAACCAACCCGGGAGGAAAGAGCTGCAGGTGGTCGTATGGGTTGCGGGTCCGCGGTGGACGGTGATGTCCCGCGCAGCCACGACACAGCTGAGAGTCCAGGAGTGGTTTTGGATGAGGGGACGCTAGGGGGGAAGACAACCCGACGAAAGGAGCAGAGAGCCCAGTCCTCAGGACGAAAGCGGTCTCTGCAGAAATGCCCCCAGGACCAAAGGCATTGGGCGGTTCATTTTGAAACGTCAAGGTTTGAATCAAAACCATAAAGAGACGCGGGTTCCATCCCTGGGACGGGAAGATCCCCAGGAGAAGGGCATGGCAACCCACTCCAGTATTCATGCCTGGAGAATCCCATGGACAGAGGAGTAGCCTGGCGGGCTACAGTCCATGGTGTCGCAAAGAGTCAGACACTCCAGTCAGACTGGAGTCACTTAGGATGCATTATCCTTAGCTGCAATACTTTAGCAATCACCAGGTGTCATTTTCTAAGGAGATTACCCTAGGAAAATCACTAAGAAAAATGATTCTCAATAGAGCAAAAGCAACACAGTCACCCCCTACTCTTCCTAAAACTTCTTTCCCTAGTTTCTCCGTGTATCCCAAGCTAGGAGCCTCTTTTCTCATCTGCTGTGTCATTCCAAGCCCTCTCCCTCGTGATC